AAGAAAAGGAATATCAAACGGAGTCCAAACAGAATGATACCTTCGGGAACGTGATTTTCTCATCGAATACAACTCAGGAGACTTGGACCCTACGTCAAGCCACGTAACAGGAGGCCACGAGGTAGGGGGTGCGCCTACCTCCCCCCCCCCCGGCGCGCCCTACACCCTTGTGGGCCCCCTGTTACTCCGCCGACGTACTTCTTCCTCCTATATATATCCACGTACCCCCCAAACGATCAGAAACGGAGCCAAAACCCTAATTCCACCGCCATAACTTTCTGTATCCACGAGATTCCATCTTGGGGCCTGTTCTGGAGCTCCGCGGAGGGGGCATCGATCACGGAGGGCTTCTACATCAACACCATAGCCCCTCCAATGAAGTGTGAGTAGTTTACCTCAGACCTATGGGTCCATAGTTAGTAGCTAGATGGCTTCTTCTCTCTTTTTGGATCTCAATTCAATGTTCTCCCCTCTCTTGTGGAGATCTATTTGATGTAATCTTCTTTTTGCGGTGTGTTTGTTGAGATCGATGAATTGTGGGTTTATGATCAAGTCTATCTATGAATAATATTTGAATCTTCTCTGAATTCTTTTATGTATGATTGGTTATCTTTGCAAGTCTCTTCAAATTATCAGTTTGGTTTGGCCTACTAGATTGATCTTTCTTGCAATGGGAGAAGTGCTTAGCTTTGGGTTCAATCTTGCGGTGTCCTTTCCCGGTGACAGTAAGGGCAGCAAGACACGTATTGTATTGTTGCCATCGAGGATAACAAGATGGAGTTTTCTTCATATTGCATGAGTCTATCCCTCTACATCATGTCATCTTGCTTAAGGTGATACTCTGTTTTTAACTTAATACTCTAGATGCATGCTGGATAGCGGTCGATGAGTGGAGTAATAGTAGTAGATGCAGGCAGGAGTCGGTCTACTTGTCTCGGACGTGATGCCTATATACATGATCATACCTAGATATTCTCATAACTATGCTCAATTCTGTCAATTTCTCAACAGTAATTTGTTTACCCACCGTAGAATTCTTATGCTCTCGAGAGAAGCGACTAGTGAAACCTATGGCCCCCGGGTCTATCTTTATCATATCAATCTCCTACTACTTTGTTATTTACTTTGCATCTTTATCATAAAAATACCAAAAATATTATCTTATCATATCTATCAGATCTCACTCTCGTAAGTGGCCCTATAGGGATTGACAACCCCTATTTGCGTTGGTTGCGAGGATTTATTTGTTTTGTGCAGGTACAAGGGACTCGCGCGTAGCCTCCTACTGGATTGATACCTTGGTTCTCAAAAACTGAGGAAAATACTTACGCTACTTTGCTGCATCATCCCTTCCTCTTCGGGGAAAACCAACGTAGTGCTAAAAGAGGTAGCAGTATGACATCACACAGTGCTAGTTTAGGCCGGGTCAAAATCTAACGTACCGAATCAAGATATGTTCGAACAGACTTACATGCACCGACTAATAAGTTCATCAAAGACAAGGAAAGTTCAGGTCGGGTCTTAGGTTCGGCCAAACAAGATGAAGGCGACCGTAAAAACTGATGTTGCTTCAATCCCGTCGACGCTCGCGGCTGTTGCTGCTTCCGATGGTGTGCCTCCTCCCCCAACACCTCAGGCTGGTTGTAATGAGGAGTATCATATACTAGTATCATGCATATGATACTAGTGTATGATACTACTTCCGTAATACATAGTATCATAAGTTAGTATCTTAAATTGCCTTATTAATTGTCATGCATGACACAAAGTAATACAATATTTAATATGATACGGTATCATCATATGATACCACACCCTCTCTTTCTTCATTTAATTGTGCGCCACATCATCCAAGAAGTCTAGTTGGCATGCATGATACCGCTTATGATACTCCCATTACGACCGGCCTCATGCCCGGCCGCCAGCCATGTAGGAGGAGCCATTGACGCGTGCCGCCACCGTCTCCAACATGCTCGACGAAATGTACCAAAGGTAAAAAATCTTCTTTTTTGATTGTTCTTTTTTCATGCTCATCCATTTGTCATATGGATATGAGTAGCGATAGATGTTGGCTAGACAGTGGCTTCAGACTTACTACTGTATTTCTTTATAAGGTCTTTTGTGAATAATTAATAAAGTGACTGCATGCATCGCCCAGATGCAGATGCCGGGGGTCTTCCTCCTTTTCTAAAAGAAATGAGAGTGACACCAAATTTCATGTTCCCAAGTTAACGATAAAAATATTTCTCTTCTATAAAAGATGTGACTATAAGATATTTCCCTTTTATGGTATGCATTGCTAAAAATAATTTTATTACGTTGTGTCCGAACCACCCACTGTACCGATTACGGAAGTAAGAACAACTTTCATCAAAGCTTTACATACAAAATAAACTTTGCAAGGACACTATGTTTGTTGTTCTTTTGAAATATTTGTAAGGGAACTTTGTATTCATGAATTAAATTTTGCACATGATGTGCACGTACCCACATACTAGTATGCATAGAATGCGAGATAGTGTGTATGTGCATTTCTAGTGTTGATGATGAAACATTCATGTGTGTGTCAAATGTTGTGACCAAATATTTTGTCTCTCAAGGTTTTCCATCACAAGAATATGATGTGCCATTTGATGATGAGAACCTTGACATGGAAGAGGAGGGTTTGTTGAGAATGTGAAGGGAAGAACTGCAAACTATTCCAACGCCGAAGATATGTTGATTTGTACCGCTTGGAAGCTAGCCTCTCTTGATGCATCCGTTGGAACTAACCAATCGACGACCACATATTAGAACTGCATCAAAGAATTCGTTGATGAACAGAACACAAGTGGTCATTATCGATCGAGGGAATCTATTCGGCACCAATAGTCCACTATCAACACTGAATGCCAAAAATGGGTGGGTTATTTGATCAATGTTGACCGCATGATCCCAAGTGGTTGCGATGGAAAAGCCATGGTAATTGGTTGCTACTTTCAAATTCTTTTTCATAAACCCGAGTGGTTTCATATGTTCCTAATTAATGAAGTTTCTTTATTGTTATGTAGTTCATGCTTGCTCAAGGTTTGTTCCAAGAAAGAGGGAAGAACTGGGACAAGAAGAAGAGGAAAGGAAAACCGTTCTCTTTCCAACATTGCTAGAAAGAGCTCAAGGATGAGGAGAACTGGAAAAACTAGGAAGCTTTTGAACTTCCGTGGAGGAAGAACTTGGATGTCGATCGTGACCATGAAGATGATGATGGTGGTGGTAGTGAGGAGGTGAGAAGGAACCTCACTCCTCATTCGGTTGCCAAAGCATATAGGCCTGGTGGGAATAAAAAAGCAAAGGGGTTAAAGTTTGGAGACAATGATCTTAAAGAAGGATTTGAAGCCATCCTCATTGCGAGAAAAGAGTATGCTGAAGAAAAAAAGGCTTTTGAAATTGAAAGAAATGGAGGAGAGGGCGGAGGCCGGGAGGCGAAAGGCAGCGATTGAGGAGAAGAGGACAGTGACCAAGGAGCGGCTGGTGGCGTCCGAGGAGAGGAAGTTGGTGGCCGAAGAGGTTAAGGCAGTGGAGGACAAAGAAAAAAATGTTCGTGGACACAAGTGGCCTCAAAGCAAAGCAAAAAAGTTTTTATGGAGCTTTGTCACGACGAAAATGATCGCGAAAAAGACCATGATCATGAGGGACTTGATGGGTGGCCTCGGAGGAGGAATGGGTGGCATGGGAGGAGCAATGGGTAGCTTCGAAGGAGGAACGAGTAGCATGGGGGAGGAATGGGCAGCTATATGGACATGATGGGAGGTGGCTTTGATAAGACAATGGGTGGCACGGGAGGTGGCTTCGGTGGCATGATGGGCGGAGTAGGAGGTGGCTATGGTGGTATCATGATGGCATGAGAGGTGGCATTGGAGGTGGCTTCGGTGGAGGTGACGACATGGATAGATCACAAGCAGATGTTCACAATGCGCCAAGTGACAACGGTGTGAAAGAAGGAAATGATGATCTTCAAGCTAATGTTCACAACGTGCCAAGTGACAACAAAGAAGATGCTAGTTGAGAGGCCGTGTTTGTTTTTATGTTTATGTGCACTTTTATTTGTTGGATCATGAACTATGTTTGCTATGATGCACTATAAGACCATTATTTTGCTATTTTGATATTGAATTTGACATATTGTTCATTATGTGTGTGATGATTTGCAAAATTTGGGATGCTTTTGATTCGAATATGTGCTGCTATTGGCTGTTGTTGTGTGACATAACTATTTTTTTACATCATCTATTGAAACGGCTGCCCTACTTTACGTCATTTGTTAGAGTTTGATGTTTTTGATGATGAAAAAAAACTTTTCAGATGCATATTTTTATCCAATCACTTGATGATGTAAAATACACATCTGTTGGGAGATGCTATTAGAAGAAATTATTTTATGAATTTTATACAATATGTTGAGTTGCACAACAATGACTGAATTTTGCATAATCAATATTGCAAACAATTCCCCTGATTACGAGTGGTTATTAGGGCCTGTTTGGTTCCAATAAGTCAGGTGACTTAAAAGCAGTGACTTATAAGTCACGCCTGTTTGGTTGCCACCTGACTTATAAGTCACCTGAGCACATCTTCCCACCTTGTTTTTTTATGTAAAGGTAATGGGACCCATGCAAAAGGGGATAACTTATAAGTTTTAAGTTGGGGTGGAGCAATTTATGACTTATAAGTTGGGGTGACTTATAAGTTGGGTCCGTTTGGCAAAATAAGTCATCTTTTGCACTTTTCGATTTATAAGTTGGTAATTTATTTGGAACCAAACAGGGCCTTACAGTGACATGAAACAATACTGATCACGAATGCTGCTGCAGATGGCGTGATAACCAAAGACTTTGGACGCATACACTGATAACAGACGAGGCGGCCGGATACAATCCAGAAGCCATCACGTATATATGGTCGATCGACAATGGCAGACACACCTGTGGGATACCATATGCACGTGTGTGATACAATATGCTTTTTTAGTGGCGGGCAACGAAGCTCTTGATGGCATCGATGAGCTCCTGGGCTCGCTCCCCGGTGGTAGGGTCCATGTCGACGGCGAACTTGTTGAGGTAGAAGGAGTGGCTCATGCCGCGGTTGATGAGCACCTCCACCTCCTTGCCGGCGGCGCGCAGTGCTTCGCAGTACTCGAGGTTGGTGTCGCGGATGAGGTCCTTCTCCGCGACGGCCACCAGCATCGGCGGCAGAGAGACGGACTCCAGCGGCGGCGCGTTCGGGCCCATCGGGCACGTGTACGGGTGGTCCTTGGTGGCGCCCTTGGGCAGCGCCATGGCCAGGAACTTGTCCAGCATGTCCAGCGTGAAGAACACCGAGTCCGGCGTGTCCTGCAGCTCCGACTTGCTCCGCGTGGCGCGCACGAACCCCGGGTGGATCGGGACGCCGCCGGCGACGCGGAGGGGCGCCCAGGCGTCCGCGTCGTCCTCGCCGACGCGCGCGGCCACGAGGTGGACGAGGTTGCCACCGGAGCTGTCTCCGACGAGGAACACGCGGGATATGTCCGCGGCCTCGCGGAGGAGCTCGGCCGCGGGGTCGTCGAGAGAGCCTTCGTCGGACATGGCGATGGACCGCAGCCGGCGGAGCACGTCGACGCCTGTGTCGAGCTGGGCGGGCATGCGGTGCTCTGGGGCTAAGGGTAGCTCGGCGGTGACGACCACGGCGGGGACGGCACAGGCTAGGCGCGCGTAGAAGTGGTGGTACAGGACCCAGGACGGGTGGGAGATGCAGAAGCCGCCGCCGTGGAGCTGCACGATGACGGGGAGGCGGGCGACGCTGCCGGCGTCGACCTCGGGGAGGTACACCCGGAGGTTGGGCTCCCCGGGGAGGTCGTGGAGCGTGTGGCCGTCGCGGGGCACGGCGTAGGGCTGCACAGGCTGCATGAGCGGCAGCGCCTCGGGCGGGCCCGTCCAGGTGCGGTCGATGCTGCCGTCGTCCATGACGCGCAGCCAGCCGGACACCTCGTCCACCACCTTGCGGCCGCTCGGCGGCGCCACGGCGGTCGCCTGGTGCTGCGATGCGGCGGCGGGGGCCATCGGTTATGTTACACGCTCTACGGTGCGGGTCGCGCGTCGTGTGTAGAGTACGGTGTGAGAGTACCGTGTGATGGTTTGGTGGTGGCAACAGGGGAGGGGAGGTGGAGTTTTATAGGCGGAGCAGGGGGGCGATGGTTAAGGTGGTCGCGTCGCGGTTTGCCGTTGAATTTTTTGGAGGGAAATTTCGCGGCGGGTGGCAGGGAATTTGATCGGAATTGTTGTGGCGGCAGTGCAGTTGGTGCTGGTAAAAAGGCAGTAGGTCGTGTGTCGCGTGGACTTGTGTGACCGCGTTGGCCGCGACCGAGATATGATGTCGACGTGTTAGTTGCGAGACACGGGAGGGGGTCCTTCCAAGAAAAACATTTTAAGTCGTTTGCTTATGATTTTATGAAGGTCGTTCTCATGTTGTAAACACGCAGTACCAAAGTCTGAAGTCCCGAACTAGGGGTTGGAGACCGTGCCGTGGACTGGACTACTACACCTGGGTCAGTCACAGATCGGGGTCGGGAATCACTTGTTTCTCACTACCAACAGCAGAATATATACTAGTAGAATATATTAAAGTAAGACAAAATTTCTCTGGCCTCTGTGTCTTGACACATCAGGTGGGAACGAATTAAATCGTCCCGGGCATTTTACGTGGGGCTGGCCAGCCCAGCCGCGCACGGGCACGGCGGCATGGGTCGGACTCGCACGGAACATGATTTAACTGGGGATACACACTGCAAGTTGATGTGCCATGTCACCATCAGCTATATTTCTGCGTGCTTCACGAGTAAAGGCGTCCTGAACCGATGAGGCTGATTGGCAGACATATCATGGCTGCAGCCTGCAGGTGAGACATGTCGCGTAAGGATAATTTTTGCATGCTTCACGGGTACAGACGCGCCCTGGATAGATAGCTGATTGATGGGCATACAAGTGGTTCTACTCCTCTGAATCACCGACTTTATTCTGTCCAAGCACTATAGCTACCCCCTTAATCAAATCTATTTGAGACCACATTTCATGACTTGTTCAAGTGGGATCATCTATTTCTAAATTAACTATTTTTAGATTTGATAGTTATAGGCTGAAACATCATGATTTCAGTGATACTGTTAAGCAAATCTGAAAAAAAATTACTTCAAGGCTCTCAACAAAGGTTCAGAAAATGGTGCAAAAACATTTCCAATCTGTCTGTTGCTATTCAAGCCACAAACACAGGGGGAGAGAATTTGTGGCACGCAAGTGCAGGGGCACTCACGTCCCAAGTGCTAGCTTTTTATTTTGTCTTTTGTTTCAAAAGTTGTATATCTTTTAAACGAAAATTTAAATTAAGTTTTGCTTTCATATTCGTGTTCTCGTGACCAGCTCTTTCAAATAAAATCCATTTTGAATATATTTGGACGACTTTTGAAAAAATATGTTAAGTTTCACTGCTTGAAACTTAGTACGAGCGATCGATAAAAATCTATCATTTTGCATCTATGGCCCACAGTAAAAATTGCTTAAAATTATAAAAGTCCTCCCAACAAATTTATTGGAAATAGAAAAACACAATCAGATGGATTAATATGGGGAAAACTAGTTCCAAGTTCCCACGCTAAAGCAACACTTAAATGCAGGCACAACCACATTGCTTTTCTACAAGATGAACAAGGTCAAGAACATTCTAGCCATTCTGCCAAGGCAACAATTCTCTGAAGGGCTCTCAAACAAAGACTATGCTCCTCTGTGGTCACTCATAACCCACTGAATTTGGACTCACTTACTAATAAATGATTTACTTTGCCCGGGGGTTCTTTTTCCAAGGAGGAAATTGATGATGTAGTACATAATTTTCCATCAGATAAAGCCCATGGGTCTGATGCTTTTATTCTTGATATTGTGAAAGCATGTTGCGGTATCACTGTTGAGGACTTTTATTGTCTCATTGATGATTTTTATTATGGAAAAGTCAAGTTTCAGAGTATGAACTATTTTTCTTATCACCTTGATCCCAAAACATGATGCCCAAATGCATGCTAGTGATTTGAAACCTACTAGATGACCAATTGCGCCAAATGGCGCAAAGACCCATTTAAAACCATGTTCTTGTTGAAAATATTTGCATTTTTTCAAAAACCGTATATTTGGGTACATTTGGTAAGAATTTATACGCCTATATATAAAGGAAATTAAATGCAAATATTTTCTTAAGGTAATAAATGCCACAAATTAGATCATCTGTAGGTCAAAATAGTTGCGTCTACAATTAGGAATTCCGAGTAACTGTAAAGTTGCATTAAAAAAGAGTAAACACAAGTGACACAATAAAATGTACTTAATACATGAACTCGTGAACATTGTTTACAGGAGAAGTTAATAGAAATAGTAGTCAATTACATCATATAATTTGGTTTTATACTCTTCTATACCTGGAGCTACAAAAAAGCCCATTTCTTCAGCAAGCTACACCCCTCGCAGCCACTGCCGAGGGAACCGTTGTTTCTGCCAAGCCTCCATGGCAATTCATCTACAGGTCCACAACTGTAATTCCTCCCGAAGCATAAACAATAAACAAATCCAGTCCTGATCTCCATATCTCTAGCATAAGTGTACAATAACCATTGTTCAGGAAAATGATGAGTCATTTATGAGAAGCCAAGTGCCACCTGATATAATAGAGAAAACAACTAATCTGCTTCTGCCAAGCCTCCATGGAAATTCATCTACAAAACAATACTCTGCTTAAAAACAATGACCACTACCAATTGGAAATATATCATCTACAGATGAGCTACAGAGAAACCTATAAATTTTCAGAAACAATGACGTCACTGACAGCAAAAACAACATGGAAAACCTGATCAGGTAACATGCATAGTTTTTCCTGATCTCCTAAACTGTATTCAAGTACATCCTTGCATAAAGGGCAACCATTTGTGAAATTCCCAATAGCATATTTAATTCTATGATAAACAGAAAGACCTGCCATGCATTTGGATAATGGATAACATAACAAGGGATCAGGTCGTGGACAATAATCTCATGAGGCAAGTGATACAAGTGCACTTATGTGCATTAGGAGTAGAAGGCATCTTGAAGCACTTATCCTCAATGAGCCTTGAATACAGTGTTGGGAGAGTGAGTCTAGGGGTGTAGAAACATGTACTAAGATGCCTGCACACGCCTCACCAAGTATTATCTAAGAGACTTCTGGCAAAAAAGTACTCCCTCCGTCTCACAATATAAGACATTTTTGCAAGCTATGTTAGCTTGCAAAAACGTCTTACATTATTCAGACGGAGGGAGTATTGTCTAAGAGACATGAGCTAACTGTTCCCATCAAGTATGCATTGGAGGAGGGAGAGTGGAGGCGGAGCAGTACGGGAGGGTTTCCTCCTCCTCTTGGTCAGCCACCATGGTACCACTAAATCGCCAGGTTTCATAATAAGGCAGGCCTACTCAACATCCTGCAAAAAGAAAACTGGGTTAGGCAATATTTCAAGTTATAGTGGGGAACATAAGATTCAAATGGGGACCTTCATAAAATTTGATAGCATACTGATCAAGGGATCATCCTTTAAATGGAAACATGGATTTTGCCATCAATCATATATTGTTAGCACTCGTCTTCTCAGTTTGAGGTTTTAAAAGAGCCAAAATCATGAGAACATGAACAGAAAAAGAAACAAGAAATTACTAGTAAGAACATCTAAATTTATTCCTCAAAGGCAAATAAATAACACATAGTTTCTCAAGCACAACTTCTGAAATCTAAATTTACTTTTATGTAGATGTAACACCAGTGACATATTTACTTTTATGTATACCAATAAAATAGCTAACCCAAAAAACGTTATGGCAATCTACAGTGCACTGTGATCTCTAATTAGCTAAAAAGAAATATTTGCCTATTCCACTTGCTGCTTCCTTTCTATTTTTGTTGCAACATAACACCAAGGCATCCTCTACTTTCTAGTTATAGTGCAATTTAAAATCAGAGTGAGTGTGAACATAGATGCATTTATTCAGAAATGAGGAAGCAGCAAGTGAAGAATGCCTAAAATTTAAGGAAAATGCAACCACTGTTTGCAAATACATGGTCATTAATATTCCAGGTAATAGCCGCAAAATGGAAGAGGAGGATTGACCTGAGCTTGCATGGAAGCAGGATAGCGTTATGGATGACCATGCTAAGGCGGCTGCTTGGTAGATCCATGGCATATTCAATGCTAGTCAGCATGGTGGAACGGTGCCATAGGGAGGGGGCTATATTGGAGATCCGTGCAGCTACCCACGCGCTGGGTGGATCGGCAGCCCTTGTCGGCATGAAAGAAAGTGGTGGTTCATGAGCATTTCATTTTCCATGACCATGAAAAGATAAACACAGAGGTCAGGGGTAGGTTATAGCTGGCAAGCATTTTTCTTGTTTGATAGTTGTCGTTTGACACATAAATGTGTAACACAAACTGAAACAATGACACCATAGAAACATAAATTCAGAAGTAGACAAACTAAATGGATTTGTTCAGTTTAGTTTAAAGATGTGTTAGTTGAAATAGGCTGCACCTAATCAAGTTGTCGGTCCTAACCACAGAACATAAAAAAGCACATACATATTTCACTAAATAGGAGAGGAGCAACCAATTTTAGCAATATCTAAACTGTAGATGTAACTATCCAAGTATCATTTTCCTTTGCATCCTCTGTCCTTTTCTTTTTATCTTTCTCTGAATTTCTCTTTTACCTCTACCAGTGCATAACATATGGTATTTGAGCGCAAATAGAGTAGGTACTCGCAAGCATATGCAAACCCAATATGCAAAGATTCAGATTTGTTACAGACAGAAGGATACCTCTGCAGTCACGACATTGCAAAAATGCAAAGAATCATATATGTGCCTCTTTTCATATAATGCCAATGTGTTCCATATTAAATAATTAAACAACCTGAAGGTAGCAATGTGCATGACATAACAGAGAAATTCCAATAAGGCAATAGATAACTTTCATAAGAACACATATCTAGATAG